CGCAAATAAAAACCGTGGCTCACATGTCACGGTACCAGCACCCTATTACGAGCTTCCGCGGGCCTTCCGCGAGTCCTCCGCGAAGACTGTTGGTTTCCACGGGCTCTTTCGCGTGCTTCCGCGGCGCTTCCGCGAACGGATTGCTAGTCTTCGGTGTTATCCGTCCAAAGCGCCGCTTAAGTTCCTAACCCTTCCATGTCCATAAGCTTCTGATAATAAGGATTCGCAGGATTGAGAAAAAGGCTTCCGTAGAGCGTCCGCAAGCGAAGTGCTTCCGCAAAAGCTTCCGCGCACACAGTGGGAACCAAAGGTCGGAATTTGTTGCCAGCCCATTTCCGAAGTTATTTACGTACGTAAGTAACTTTGCTCTAGCGCCTATTTGTTTAACTGATCATTTGCTACTTGTACTGTGGTATGTATGGCTGTGGCAGAGGCTTTCCGTGTAAAATTGTGGCTATTTGGATGTTCCCTTTGCGGGACGTTGCGTGGTACTTCGTATGGCATCAATCTCAAGCACCATGCCGCCTCATACTTCCGTTCTTGACGCAACAAATACTTCCCAGCTCGCGTTGCACTTGCATCGATGAATTTGCGATTCTCCTCTGAGTTTGATCAGAGATGACCCAAGAGCTCGGCCCATCGATGCGATGACAGGGTCCAATCAATTTCACGGAGCCGCCTGCTTGCCTTCATGCTTGAAAATCGCAGTGAGATGTCTCTGTTTGGCAGCTCATTAATTACATTTGATGACAGCCACTCTTGTCCAGACAAAGCCACAGTGCCTGATGCGCCTCTCCTCGCTGTTCAGCTCAGGCTTGTGGTCCTGGCCAGGCGCCATGAAATCTCAGCATGTGCACGCCTCAAGGGCAGGCCAAAGCCTAGGAGCTCTTTCGTTTTTCGTTGCTTGACAAGTTCACGCGGTCGTGGTACTGATGCATGAGATCAATCTGCAGTCAGCTGTCTGAAGTCTGGCGTTTGCTTTTTGGGGCACTGCTTGATTGCCACGTCAATGCTGCCCAACTTCACACACCCGGTTATGTTCCGCAGGATGCACCGGCGACCATTTTAAGCGTTTACTGTTTTCTCCTTTCGTGAATGCCTTACAATGCCTTGCAGGAGGGCTCCCGTTTCAGAGATGTTTGGGCGCGCAACTGGGAGTTGATCAGAAGCCGCTCATTTGTGCGCGAAGAAATCCAAGTTGAGGGGACAGGGTCCCCCATCCTGGCAACCGTCATCATTTTGGACACTCGCATTCTCACCACAAGTCGACACGGGGACGCAATCTTCCTAACTGTCATCCTTCCTGAACTCTCATGTCTTCGCCGCATGACAAAAACGCAGAGGGAAGAAGGGTAGTAGGGAGAGAGGATGGAGACCAGGAGTCTGGAAGGAGGAGGGACAATACATTGCGTTTTGCATCGTACCTTGCGGACTTCGCGGAGCCTTTTGCACTTTTCTTAGTTGATGCCACATGATGCGTGACTGCCTTGGGGCTTGTGGCTAAATATGGGGCATGATCTGGTATTGGTAATATGTTCTAAGAACATTGAATAATTAGAAAGGTAAAGAAAGTAAAATGAAGGTACACAAAAAGGTTCAACAGTGAAGGTAGAAAAACGGTAAGACTCCAAACGCAAGGTAGAGTAAAGGTATCCAGAAAACGTGAAGAAAAGGTAATACGCGAGCGCTCAGGTGAAAGCAAGGCACCCAGAAAGATGGCAAACAGCTAACAATCCAAAAGAGACATGAGGACCACCGCAGCTGGCAAGGAGGAGGGGAGGAAGACGAGGACGAGGAGACGGAGGAGCAGCAGCAAGACGAGGAGGAGGAGGAGGAGGAGCAGGAGCAAGTAGTCGTAGTAGTAATAGTAGTAGTAGTAGTAGTAGTAGGAGGTAGTAGTAGGTAGTAGGTAGTAGGTAGTAGGTAGTAGTAGTAGTAGTAGTAGCAGTAGTAGTAGTAGTAGTAGGAGTAGTAGTAGTAGTAGTAGCAGTAGTAGCAGTAGTAGCGGTAGCAGTAGCAATAGCAGCAGCAGTAGTAGTAATAGTAGTAGTAGTGGTAGTAGTAGTAATAATAATAGTAATAGTACCTTACGCGCCTTTAATCGATCATGGGTCCAAATGCGTATTGCGGCTGTCTGGGGGTTGCGGGGGTTGGGCAGCTTCTTCTTCAGTGTCGAAGCGGAAGTTGCCGCGCTCATCTTCATGGATCTGGTACCCTTCAAGCCAGTCATGGCCGGGCAATCAGGCGGTGAAGCAGGCCATGAAGGGTCTCTGAATTGTGAGCGATTGTTCTTTACTTGCGGCGACGTCCACCTCCGCAGAGGGACCTTGCCTCAGGAAGATACCACACGTGGGAGCCCCACGCGTGCTCTAAGGAGCCAAATCGGAGGTGGCTTCCAAGAGGCCGGATCGCTTCGCCATGGCACTCCCTTGCGATCGCGAGGACAGGTGGTCCTCTGATCCAGTCAGTCACCATGAGCATCCTGAAATGGTCTCCCCCTCGCCTGTCACAAGTCACAAGGTTTTACAGTCCGGCGCCCAGTGGCCCCAAAGAAGGTCGTTCTGGCCTTCCCCTTCTCCGTAGAGAAATCCCAGTGGTCTGTCTATCTTGTAGTCACAAGGCGCCTGGGCCGTTACCCCTTTTAGTGCGACCGCCTTGGTAAGGGGGTAGCGGGGCCCCGCGAACTTCTCCCCAAAGTTGGGGGACTGCAAGCTGGCTTGAGTGCATTGAGGAAGGTGGTCACGGGCGCAGTGAGCCGCACACATCCGAAGCTCCAAGGGACACTCAGCGAGTCGGTCTTGAACATCAAAGCAGTACTGGCTCCCCCCCTCTGGGAGGGGATGCATCGGTGCAGCTGATCACTGGAGAGATCGGGGACTTGAGGTTCTCTGCAAAGGGGTTTAAGAGCGAGGAAGCACAACACCTCATCATAATTGGGCGGCGGCAACTGCACCACCTTGGCATTCCGTGACTACCCAAACATTTCGTAGATCTCCTAGAGGATGGAGTACAGAGGCCGCCTGAACGCAGCCGGAAAGGCTGCCTTCCAAGTCCAGCGGCGGACACAAAAGTCGGTCATGTCCTCCACGGCAACAAGACCAAACCCCAGGTCAAGGAACTCCAAGGACTTATCATAGAAATGGCGGATGCCCTCGCAGCCGACGATTCCACCTCCTTGAAGGGGTTGTTCGCACCCGCTTAACTGTTTCCCCAAGTTCCGGGGCAGACCCAACGACTCACAGGCAGGAGGCTGCCTTCATCACCTTCAGCGATCTCGGCCTTGAGGCGCCGAATTTCGTCGAAGTTGTCAAGGGACAGGGTCATGGAGTCCTTGTCAGGGATTGGCGCTTGCCGGCTGATGTGCCTACATGAGGGCCACAGCTGAAGTCCACCCCATCGGTACCAGCCGAAGGGCCGGGCGGACCATCTCCTCCGCCGAATCGCCGATATCCCAGTCCCCAGCGCATCCCCTCTCACCTTTTGCGCGGAAGAGAACAAAAGAGACCAAGATTCAGGCATCCTGAACAGGTCGAACGCCGACTGAAGTTCTGCCGAATCCATGTCGGGCTCGGCCAGAATGACCGTGAGTTGACCCACACAGGGCAACATGTCCTGCGCTTCAGAAAGAAGCCTCCTGGCATCGTTGGTCGGGCACAAAATCGACATGAAGCGCTGAGCCATCTCTATCCCGCTGCCCCTGTCTTCACCTTTCTGAACTCCCCCTGATCCATTGGTAATCATGAGGCCCCTGCGATCAGTAGGGACATCCTTGTCAGCCACCGCTGTGAAAAGGTCTCGGTTGTAACCGCTCTACACAATGGCGAACCTCGGAAGCGTAGACCTTCGATCCACGGCGGCCCTCCGGGACTTCGGTCTGGTGGAGAAGCTCATGCTAGTTGGCGAGGGACAGCTCCACGGCGTTGATCCGCTCGCTGACTGCTGACATCTGCCGCGCCGCTGGTACTGACCGGCTCCTATGTGGGCGAGCGCCAGCGCCAGAGTGCGAACTTCCCTCAGCACCCTGACAGACAGCTGGGATCGGTGTGTTGGGCTTAGGATGATGAGCACCCAATTGCTCGCTAGTGGAGGCGTTAGTGACCTTTGGTTGTGTCGGCTGATTGCCCCCCTCTCTGGCCACCAAGGTCTGCGTGAGTCTTCCTGGCCTCTTCAGCGAGTACTCGCGAAGTTGAAGTTGGAGACTCTTCCCGCCCTGAGAGGAGGGGGCGTCCCCAAAAATCTGAGGAGTCACTATCGGACAAAATACCCCCGTAGGAGACTCTGGGGCCTTCCCCGAAGAATGGTCCACGATCTGAAGGTCTATCCTTCTTTTATTTGTTCTTCTTCTTCCCTTTCTTGTCCCCCGTATCAGATGAGCCGCTTGTCGCCTCACCTGACTCGGACGTATCCGGCAGGGGAGCGGCTCGTCCTCGGCCAAACCAGTCTCCTTCCGAGACTTTGTCCTTGAATACCTTGCCTTCGCGCTTCTTGTTCTTGCGCGACACTTTTCTCTCCCCCGTGGGCGGCTCGGCCGGAGGAAGACCGTCTTTCTCTTTCGACCTGCCTTGCCGTGCTCCAGTTCTTGCTCCAAGGCCGCTAACTGAGTTTCCACTTTCTCCTGGCCTTGCCCAGGGTCAGCTGCAGCAGCCGCCGCCTCTGCGAACCCAAGGCCAAGACGGCTGGGTCCGGCATCTGGATGCCCTGCTCGTTCGCCAGCTTCAGTCAAGCGATCCAGCTCGTCTTTCACAAACTTCTGATGGGGGCCTTTTGCCACCCAATCAATTTTCTTCCTCGCCAGGTCACCCATGGTGACAACTCGGAACTTGTCGGTGTGGAAAGTCCATTCCCCTTCCACGGCGGGATTCCTTGCAGCTGCGCTGGACGGAGTTGCAGAAGTGGAGCTCAAACTCCCAATTAACCACCAAGTGAGGTGCTCATCCGGCAGTGCGAGGAAAATCACTTGGGCCCACTGACCCTTACGGCCCTTAGGCTCGATCTTGTCCACCCTGGCAAGGACGTGACCTTGTCGCGTATGTGAGGTCTCGTGGGCGACGAACTCCACATAGTCGCCCACGCCGAGGTCACAGTCTTTCCAGGAATCCGGATCTTCCGTAGGGGGCTATCTTTGGCACTTATGGGTACATGTGAGCATGAGAAACAGCCATGACTGCGCATATCGAAACTCGTGCTTGTCACAGTAATGAATAGGGTTTCTGATGGTTTTGGGTGAAGCTGGCAATGCCGAGCTTTGCTTTACGATCCGGGGTTGGAAGTGCTGCACAAGGCGAGAAATGCCACGTGCTAGCGGAAGGTCCGATGTGACGTGCCATCCGCAGCCCTGTACTTGCCGCTAGATTCACTATATACGGCATCTGCTACTACAGTAGTGAAGCATTACCAAAGTGTGCGAGAGCAAGGTATCAATACCAATACTCAAGTGAGCTGATGTCCTCGGAGAGCTCCACTGCCTACAAAGCAGCACGAAAGAACATCAGCCACAGCCAAAGGGGATCCTGGGCCACGGACATTGCCATTTCGGCAGAGCACGGCTCGAGAGTCGCCACAGTTGGCAACTGTGACTGTCCGTCTTCCACCTGTAAACTAAATCCGCAAATTCTGCACGGAATGAGAGAGCGTGCCATCTGGTTTACAAGAGAGCGGGACTAATGGTCACTGCACAAACTGCCCCAGAATGTAGTGCACACGCGCCAGCTCTGAGAAGAGATCTACAGGCCTTCAAGGCTCAATTCGAGAGAAGAACTGCCAACAGGAGTGCGCCTTGCTAATCCTTTCTGTATTTATCAACCCACCACCATTGCAGTCGTCCCTGCAGACAAGGTAGCTGTGCATGGCGAGCACGGACAAGATGCATCTGTTCAGCACCCCGGCAGGCCTGCTTTGTCAACTAAGGCAACAATGGCAGTGCTACCTGGCAGTTTGCGGTCAACTTCAAGCTTGCTGAAGCTTGCATGTGCATCAAGAGGCAACTCCAATTGAGGAGGCGACCCACCAAATTGAAAGCATTCCTCTGACTGCTGGCCTCCAGAGGGACTAGAAGACAGAGGCCCCAAGCCATTAAAGGCTCCTTGAACCGTCCTTATGCATCCCAAGCTCTGGATTTAGATGCCTGGGAAGGTGTTTGCACATGCAGGCTAGCAAGTACGTCCGTAGCAAATCATGGAAAATCCTTGGCTTATTTCAGATAACGTATTGCAGTGCAACATCTGATCTGAAGTTAAGACGTGCAGCAAGTTACCTTTGTTTTCCCCCCGCTTCCGTTCTGATGTACAAGTCAGGTTTTCTGATTCGTACTCAGGCAATCTTGAGGCCGGGCCTGACAGTCATGGTGACATAGATGTTAACATCACAAAAAATGCTGCTGCGGTGCTGCAGTTGCCCCCTGCCTGCGCTTGCTGCGTTTCAGCCGAAGGTTGTTGATCTTGATGATCATCTTGCGGTGGAGACGCAGGAATCGTTGGTAGTCGCTGAGGGTCGCCTGTGGTCTTTACATACGCAGGACTTGATTCAAAATGAGCTCTGTGCCTCCTCAATACCGATCCCATGTACAAACATCAGCGTGAGATCCTTGCAAGTGGCAAATAGTGGCAACAAAAATCGCTGTAAGCTGCTCACACCACCTCGCCCATCTGCCAGTAGGTATCAGCCCAGGTTCCCCGTAATGCTTGGGGGGCGTCTCCAGCTTCCATAGCCATTTTGGATACCTGAGCATCTCACACCTAGCACGTCCGCATGTCCAGGCGATGGACAGATCCGTTTGGAATCCCAACTTTGGCCATGCACCAACTGTCAGGTTTGATCTCCTCGTCTGGGCGATCAGCATAGATGTTAAAGACCTGGCATGCTACGAGTACGTCCTATGACTGCTGGAGACTGTCTTGCAGCAACAGCAAAGTCTGGCCTGGCTGCCGCCTGGAGGTCCGCCGGTTGGTGTTGCTGTGGGGGCAGCTTTTGCCGCGCCTTTTGCTGCCTCGACGCACTTTGAAGGCTTCGACATCTTGCTGGATGAGGTGACATCTGAGTAGACTGCTTTCTTGGGCCCAAGTCGCGGGGCCTCGGCACTGGGCTCGCAAGAAAATGCTGTGGTAAGAAACTTGATGCAACATGCGGTCCAGTTACCCGTTCTGATTCTGAGCATAGGGCAGAAGCGTGAAGAAAGCCGGCGTTTGTTGCGAGGCTGCAGATGCTGCGGCATCTGGAAAGCATTTGCCTTGACGTAAAAAAAGTAGAGGCAATGGCAATGCTGGCAATGCAAGCAGTTCAGCTTGAAGACGATATAGCATCGTCTACACAAATGAGGTGATGGCTGTGCCATCGTGGCCGCCAGTGGCCGCCAGCACTACCCAAATCTACTGAGGCCGGAGGCCATTGGTCTTGGGCGTAGCATGCGTCAAATCAAAGAGAGAGAACGGCTGCGATCGTTCTAAGCACCCTTGAACATCTTGGCAGAACAAGAACTCTCGAGAAAAACAACGTTACAAAAGCGTGGCCTCCAGGTGCCTAGCCATGATGCCTAGCGGGCCTGGTGCCGACAGATCCGAAAGCGCGATTGGCGGCAGCCGGACATGCTGAGGCTTGAGCTAGAAAGTTGAAGCAAGTTACTCTTCCCTTTCGAGTTCAGGCCGTTGCCCAACTCAGTCAACTCATCAATGCAAGTAAGGAAACTTTGCGCTGCCGCATCAACAGCACAGATACAATCTCAGAAACGCACCTGCCGCAAGAAGGCATCCATGGCGATCATGCTCATGGAGAGAGACTGGCAATGGCAAACTGCACAGGTCTGCTGCTAGGCCTGAGGCTTTGTTCCTTCTGCAGCTTGGCAGTGGCACCGACCATATTTGCACATTTCTTGCCACTCCTTGAAGATACTGGAGTTGCACAGTTGTTCTGCCCCCATGCATGTGTGGGATGTTGCGACTCAAGTCTTGCTGCCAGATCAAGACAATCTGCCGAAAAAGGAGACATGGAAGTTGCTGTGTGTCCCGTGGATGTTCTCCTGGTTCGCACCTTTCGTCCTCCAAAGCCACTTCCGTGCTTTGGTTTGGAGCTTTGGAACACATGACCCCTGAAGGGGACTTTTGTCTCAACATTTTCTGCTTTTGGCAAAAAGCGCACGCAGCAAGATACCTGCGCCCTTTCACCGTTTCATGTCGAAGCCCGGTGCAGGCTAAGCTGATGTTGAACACAGTGAAGCACACTCTCTGCGACTTCAACACAGGTGTTTCCAACAGCGCTGTCTTCCTTGCAGTAGTGACCAAAATATCCACATGGGTGATTAATCAACGGAATCATAAGTGAGATAAGGACATCTGGAGGCGAAGAACTGGACCGTCCTGGTTGCGGCATGATGTAGGAAGATGAACTAAACATGGCAGCAACACTTTTCCTGACAGCCCACCCTCCTCGTTTGCCTGTGAGCTTCAAGTGCAGGCAGCAACTTCGGAACTTCGGGTGCGGTTAACATCAGCCCATATGAACATGCAGCGCGTGAAGAGAAGTACCAATCACCAAGCGCTGCAAGTCTGTTGGCCGACGCCCTCAAATGCGGGAACCAAAGCCCCCTCAACCGCCCCACGTACTGCACATCCAAGCATGCTTACGCTGCCCTGAGCTGCAAGGAGTCGCACCTCGGCACTCGGGAGAGGCCTCTCAAGCAGAGACAGATGAAGACTTGGGTGACTTTTGTTTTAAGGTCGACAAGTCAATGCTAGGCAACGGGCTCCGTTGAATCCTGCAGGCACACCGCGCGCACCTGCCGGAGCAAAGATGACATGGACATCATAAAGCAGCTTGCAACGCGCGAATTCCAAAAGGCAACCTCCGAATCCCGCGGTTTGGAGCTGCTGGTTGATGCGGGTGACCTTGCACTTGGTCATTCGCTGCTGAGTTCTTTACAGGACTGCTGACTTGAACTCTCTCCTAAGCTCTACTGTACTGGACCTTCGTCGCGGTAGTGTGCTTTGGCAAGGTGATGACTGGTTGCCAAGTTGGCATAGCTGGGACGTCCCTTTCCCGGGAGGTCCCTCGCCCTACAGCTTCCGCTTCTTTGCCGGCGCATTTGAAGCTTGAAGCTACGTAGTTTAGATCCACTGTCGGTATATGTCTGTATGCAGTGCCTACGCCATCCCTGAAGCATGAATTGATTAGCTTGCCAAAGCTCCGTTGTCTTGTGCGAGCTAGGCATGACTCCGCTCGCAGCCTATTTGCCTCCCCTGCATCCGAAAGGATGCTTTCAGAACTCTCCATCACGATTTCCCAGGACAACCAGCCAATGCTTTCGTGTTGTTTGTTGCATCATGTTTTCCAGCTGGCTCTCCTTCACACTGACCGCAACTGTGGGCCCTTCGAGGCCTGCCACATTTCTCAGGAGCGTGCGCTGCAAACGTTCATCTCGAGCCTCTGAATCGGTTGCTAGTCGCGCTCTCTGGACATCTCCCTCCAGGTGGCTGGGAGCCAGTCGGGCGAACCGCTTTGCAGAACCCTGCAGACCTTCTCGAGACTGCTCCTGTGTTGCTTCGCGCTGTGCTGAGGTCAGTCTTAACTCGCGCTTGGGCGTCCACATGGCGACTCCTTGCCCCAGAAGTTGTTGACACCCCTTGCCAGCGTCGGCTTGTCAATGCAGGGCCGGCGAGGCTTCAGCATCATCAACAGTCTGATGCCAGGCTGGAAAGCAGCCTGGAAGCCGTCTTCCTGCAGTCTGTTCCAGTTCCACTGCGTGCGCCTCTCTCCATGGTGTTGCATAGCTGCCGCGGAGCTTCGATTTCCTGCACGACTGTGCTCATGGAAACGCAGTTTCTAGCGTGGCTTTTACCTACGTGTTGCGATTCTTGCTGAACTGCTGCACCCCCCTTCTCCCTGCTGAAATGGTGCAGATGCTGGCATTTTGTTGGGGCGTAGGGACTTCTCACTCCCTGCTCATGGGTGTGGGAGCTGTGTTGGGTATGGGAATGGGTGCTATATTAGCGCATGTATGCGGAACACCAGCAATACTTATGAGGACCTAGTCTCTTCAAGGCTTTCAAACGCTGAAAATTGACCACGCTCAGGAGGGTCCTGCCCCGAACTGCCTCATTCTTGTGACTCTTGGCATTTGAAATCTCGCAGATGGCACGAGGTGCCACAAGTGCTGGCAGTCAGCAACATGGCACCCCCGTCCTCCCCCTCGTCTCCGCAACTTGTTGAACAAGTTGTGACAACACAGGCAAGGACAAGAGTCACAAAGATACAAAGACTCTGTGCGCGCCAGTCGCACCACCTCGGACCATGCTATGCTGCTATGCGAAGCGACCGTGGATGGCCATAGCAGCCCACGTGCCTTCTTTTTAGAACCTTTTGCTCATGACCTGATTGGGCCTCCAATGCCTCCCTCGAACGAGTATGCTCTACCACATGGGGTTGATACCACACCCTGACAGGCGCCCAAGCAGCGAGGCCGGGTAGGGGCAAGACGTCCGAGCTGAAGAATTCTACGCAAACTAAGTTCCAGCGGTGTCTCCCCTTGTGCGCGCGCACTGTGTCCCTCGTAATTTTCCATCTTGGAAAGTTGCTCGTTTATGTCAGGTGGGAGGTCTCTGATGGTATCTGACATCCACATAAGGGAGCATAGTGCTCGCTTTGTGTTCGTTCTCTCGGTGTCATGGTGTTGCTTTCTGGCGTTGACAGGACAGGAAGGCAGCCCAACCATAACTATGCCAGTGGCCATTGATGTGCAATCCTTCCAACTTAGCATGGTCGAGCATGGTTGTGAGTCACCTCAGACTCTCACCCATCAGCTGCGCCGGAGTCTTGCGGCTGGGATGGCACGGAAGGGTCCTTCAGCTGAGCCTCTGAGCTATTGATTAAAAGTATTCTTCGACACTTTAGCAGGTGCAACTCAAGCTGAACTTGGTCGCGACCACTGCTTTTCAGGGTCAGGTGTATGCAGAAAAGCTAATCAAGTTTGGCCGATGATCCTCGCAGGAGTCACGGAGCTTGTTCGCACAAACTTGGAGCACCTTGCAACACCGTATCACGTTCATTAGGTGCCTGCTGTGCAAAGCATACGGCTTCTCCCGCCTTCGGAAACTCTTTGGACGCAATGTGAGACACTTGGGACCCTCCGTGTCCATCAAAGACCGCAAAAAGTGCCTCGAAACAGGAAACAGGTATTGTCCGAAAGACACCGTAGTAGCCCAAAGCGACTCCTCATGTCGATTTGTCTTCGCAAGCACACAACGCGTTCATATTGCAAATCAGAGTGGGCAATTTATTCTGGGGATGAAACATGGGTCAGATATGCGCAACCCCAAATACGACGCATAGCTGGTCTGTAAAACCATGCAAAAGCTACTGGCAGAGGCTACACAGCAAGAATTCAAATTGTAAAGTGCGCGTGTGAGGCGCTCGCTTTATCCATTTGTGAGCTGTCCAGAACTTCGCATCAAATACTGGAAGGCACGATGTAGTGGTGATGACAATGATGATGAACAAGCTCCCAAGGAGGTCCCTCCGCAAATGAGTTGAATATTTGTTTGGCGAAAAGGATTGAAAGAATGAAGTGTTACATGCACGCAGAGGGGTTGCCCATCCTGATGTTGTGCTTTGTCTCCAACATTGTCTCGTGGGGATAACTGGCACGTTGTGCCTGTTTTCAGGCTGCTGCAGAGATCGCACGCAAGAGACAAAAGTGATTTCCCTGTGCTTGTAGCTCCACTTGCATGCAGTGCCGAACAATCCAAGCTCATCTGTTTCGCTGGAGAGTTGCCATCGCGCAAACTGCATCACACAAGTATGGCTTCCTGGGATCCTCAGGGGGCGGCCTTCAGTGGGATACTTCTCCAAGAACAATTCAGTGAAAATCGAAATACCAGTTGCAACCTGCCCGAGACCCACTCCTCCGGCCTGATGGGCCAAGGGCTCTGGCAGTGACGCAGTGATGCACGTGGCATCCTCCGATGGCTGAGGAATCTTTCCATGGCATTAACTCCAGCGCGCTGGCCTCCATGGCCGCCCGCCAGCCTTGCATCTCGCAAACCGCCCATTCCAGGCCGTGAACGCTTCCTCCTCCGTGGAACTCTCACACCACTAGTGTTCACGCACCTCCAGCATCAGAAGGCTACAAGCTCACCGGTAGACTGTACAATCATGTGTCATTTCATGTTTCTTTTGAAGCTAATCCACTAGAGCCGCTGAAGCTCTGCCACCAGGGTCTGGGGTCAGGTTCTGATTTGATTCTGTCTTAGGCTCAGGTGCTGGGGCTCGTATAAATTGAATTTGAACTCTTTGGACTGTTTAAAGCTCTAGCAGCGCAATGCTTGTGCGGCACTCGAACTTGAATCCTTCCAGAACCTTCCATCTCGAACGGGTCTCACAGGTCTACGGAGAACTTCGAGGCTTTGCATAACTTTGCACTGCCCGGAGCATGCAGGGCGTCCCGATGCTTCTGGCACTTCCATGACTGATGCTATCTATACTTTCCCACAAGCCGCCCAAGAGATGTGTCTCCGGTTACCTCCACCCTTACCATGCAGCTTTGCTGTAGCAGGCACGCAGAGTCACACAAGTATGTATGCAATATGATGTAATCATGTGCATATACTTCGGCATTGTAGTGGCAAACATTGACTTGGGACATTGTGGATGCAATCGCATGCTCTGAAGTCCTTCCGTCTTCTTCTGCCGAAGCGGGCCTCCCACTCGAGCGCCTGCATGTGCTCAAGTCAAGCACTGGCTGCGCAAGTTGTACCAAATGCAACACCTTCCACAAAAACAGGTTGGTGATAAGTCTCACCTCCAACGGACGAGCTTTCAAAGAGCATTCCACCAAAAAGCTTCCAGATCACCACGCCAATAGTAGCGGCAACCACCTGAGGCAGATCCAAAGTAGCTTCGGATTCGTGACGCCACACTTCAACAGCTTTCACAAGCGCTTGGGGACCGGCAGTTTTCCGAAAGACATCATGCATCAAGTCGCTCCCAGGAAATCGTTCGATAAGAAATACCACCATCACAAACACGTACAAGTCCTGCGCAGCAAAGAAGAGGCATGTTTTTCTTGTGGAGTATATCAAGCAGCCACATAAGATAGCAACAGTCAAAGCAGACTTATCTGCTTCAATTTTTGCTGTTTCAAAGAGCGCGGGTCATGGTTGGCAGCGCTGTTTGGTGGCTGACTCGGAAGAATTCAAACTCCGATGCAGTCTCCGCACTTTCCTGGTTTATCTGTACAATACGTGGGAACGTTCAGCAAAATGGCGCATGTTTGCCTGCAGCTTCTGAGTGGCTTCAGCGCATGACGCCGGGATCATTCAACGGAGGAAATATCGGGCATCCCGGTACAAGCCTAGATTGGTGTTGCCTTCATGGATAGGAGCCTGCCTCCTCAACAGAGTTACGACCATCAAGAATCAAACGCTACGCAGCTCCAGTCCTCCAGGAAAGGATGCGAACACGTTTGCCCCGTCCCAAGGTGAATGAAGAGCTACACTCATCACTTGCCCGCATTGCAAGAACAGAGATTTTAGAGCTTCACAGTCGGCAAAGCTTGAGGAATTGGAGCACTAGTCATCTAGTGACGTGGTCTTGGCATGAGATGCGATACGAATTTTGAGATGTATTGTACATGACAACACTGTTCACGGCACGAGAAAGCAAGAGTGTCCCGGAGGATGCTCCACAGAAGCTGGCCCATCCTTTCAGCTGCAGGGCACAACCACAACGTTTGTGCAGTCTCTCCAAAAATCTCTGGCCTTCCCAATCTAGGCGCCGCGTCAGCGCTCGCAATGGCTCAGTCTCTTTGCAGGGCAGGTTATTCGTCAAGTTGTGGCTTCTGTCTCTTTGTCTGCTTGGTTCACATGCAAACACGAGCTTAGCCGTGTGGCCCATGTATGTAGTGTAGAGTAATGCTTCGACGAACAAGCATTCATTAGCGCCATGGTACTTCAACCTGCATAACACGTGCTACAACGCAAGAGCATGATTCGCTGGAGTATATCGAGCTCTTCGCGCGCGCAGACAGCCAAGCAAAGACGGGTTCGTGAAATGTACTGGCACATGTTTTTATTCTTAGCTGTACGCTCCAAGCGCATTTTGCGTGGCGCTACGCGCAGCTGCACACAAAGACGGCTAAATAAGAGTAAACACTGTTAAACACAACTGTCTCCAAAGAATTTCTAGCGATGCCAGGGCACATGCTTTTCGCAAGTTTCGTCAGGATCAAGACCAAACCATTGAGCAACTATCCCCGGCCGAGCATTTGTCACATCACATGCTTTCGCGCCACTGCTGGCAAGGTTCTTCGCGGAAACCTCTAAGTAGTCCTGCGCGACGTCTCACTTGAATCTTTTGAGCGAGCACAAAACTATTGTCAAGCGCAAATGACCAACCAGCAGATCTTCCACGAGCGCGCCTATCTTAAACACGTTCATCGTCTTTCGACACTGATTGTCAACTGGGAAGAGGTCATCCAGCACCATTCCATACCTTCAACTTGACTTACTTACTACATATCCTGACTAAGTGTGCTTTTAGGTAGAGCGAAGGGACCCGCATGAAAACGCACTAGTTTTCGCTCCGTCACTGAGCTCGCTTTGTCCCAGCCGCAGCGGCCTTTTGTGATCCCAATCCATGTCGAGTGTTTTGCTGAGTGGTTTGCCAGCCAAATCAAAACTTCTAAACCTGCGCAAACCGTCGTTATGCGATCATCAATAAATTCCATGGCTGCCTTTCCCATATGGCTTCTGACCTGATCACAAAGCCATGGGCTTGGTTGACAAGCCCTTACAGCCTCCAGGGTCCGGAAAAAGCCTTACCCCATTGTCAGAACAGTGTCGACAAGGATGGCGGCTTGCAAGCAACACGTTTTGCGCCACTCTGCCTTGAGCCTAGGGCATCTGCAAATGCACGGGTGCTCGATTTAGCACATTGCTGGCGCCATGGTCACTGCATAGGACCGATGCGCAGTCTTAAAAGCATGCACATGGAAGTTTATGGAAGCTGCGGTCAATAGTGGCGTGAGATGGCGTGAGTCTTTTGGCTAGGGTGTGGAGGCAACAACCAATTTGTTGGCGAACGTTGCTGATGAGTACAGTACAAGTTGCGATGGCAAGCACCTTCCCTTTCCTATGGGTCCTGAATAATCTAAACTCGATCATCTGCATGAGATATCCCAGAACAATTCCAGAATAAAGGCATCGGACCAGCTTCTGCCTGCAAACTCCTAAAACGCATCTGCACATCAGAAAGCTGGGAAAAGCAACCCACTTTGCTCCAGCAGACTGGAACCCGAAGAATCTAGAATCTAGATGAACGAATACATCGTCAGGCAGATTGTTACGACTGTGTGCCAACTACCTGTTTTGTGCAAGACTTCTGTCCCTCTGGGGCTGAGGGTGTAAAGCTGCAAGACATAGCGGCCCTTTCCATGCAGCATCAACGCATGTCAGGGTCTTGGGTATTCAGACCGTGTCCACTGAAGCTTTCAGTAGTTCTCTTTCCTGCCGGCAGCTGGGCATGCTGAACAAACTTCAGGACCATGAATGAAACCACATTCTCTGACTCAGAGCCCAGCCATATCCACGTTCCTTCAATAAAGCATTTCAGGTAGATGGAAGCTCAATCTCGTTTGATCTTTCTTGTTCTCTCAGTACCAATCTGAAATTCCCCCGAGCTTCGTCACTTTTAGCCATGTCGTAAGACCAGCAATCAGCACGACGACCTGGCAAGGAAACACATTCTCTACAGCTAGGATCAGCTAGGATATGTGTCAGAACGTGGATTGTCACCCCTGGCCTGCACGATCATCAACGAAGCTCCAATGATACCGACTATGAACCTCATATGGGTATGTGCGTTAAAAGGG